AGCCGCCCGCCATGGAGCCCAACAGCCCCCGCAAGATCCAGTTCACGGTGCCGCTGCTGGAGCCGCACCTCGACCCGGAGGCGGCCGAGCAGGTGGGGGGGGCACCGGGAGCCGCGGGAACTCCGCGAGCGGCGGCACCGGGAGCAGCGGGCGGGGCGGGGCGGGGGGCACCGCGCTCCGCGGGGGCCGCGCTGGGCACCGGGAAGCCGCGGGAAGGGAAGCGGGAAGGACGCGGCGAGGGCAGCGCTGGCCACGGCCGCGGGCGTCGCGCCCTGGGCGTGGGGACACGGGGGGCACCGGGCACGCACGGCCTCCCCCCCACACCCGGCTCCCCGCGAGGACAGCGGGCCTGGCGCCGGGCACCCGACCCGAAGCGGGTCCCGCCGCTCGGGGCTCGGTTCCGGGCGCCCCTCACCCGCTTATCAGGGCAGGCGTTGGGAGTCCCCCCCCTTGCGCGGTCCCCTGGGTGCCGCCACCCTCCGTGCCGCCCGCCAGCCCTTGCTCAACCTGTGCCGGGGCTGGCCGGGCTCCAGCAGGACATCAACCCCGGGCAGCGGGCACGAGGCTGGGCCCGGGCGCTGCTGGCCGGGGCGGGGGACAGGGACATTGCAAAAGAGCCACCCCGCCGGGAATAGCAGCGGCTCTCGCGTGGCAGAGCTGCCCCGCCGGGGGCACTTGGGGTGCAGGGCAGCACAGGGGGTACCATGGGGCACCCCGGGGCTCGAGGCGGCGGAGACGGGTGCGCGGGGGACGGGAGCGCGGGGGCTGCTCTGGGACGGTGACGAGCGGCGCCCGCCAACGCGCCGAGAGCCTCGGGAGCCAAAGCGCCGCCGCTGCCACCTCCGTTGGCAGGTGCCAACAGCTCCGAGGCTGCCAGATCTGAGCGCGGGATGGGGGGAGCGGAGTCTCCCGTGGGGCTCGGGGATGTTGGGGGCGTCCCCACGGCCTCAGGGGTCTCGTGGGTGGCCCCATGACCTCAGGGGTGTCGTGGGTGTCCCCCTGGCCTCCAGCCCTTCACCACCTGCATCCAGCACCGCTGCCAAGCGGTGCCCCCTTGGCAGTGGCACAAGGGGGTGGGCAGCACGTTGGCCCCTTTTCCATGGGAAAAGGGAGAAAGCTGCAATTTCCACCAAGGTTTTCCAGCAAGGAGATGGTGGGAGCCTGGGGGAGAGGGGCAGGAAGAGCCGCTGGTTCCTCCCGCGCCGTCCCAGCGGGAAGGGTGGTGGCCGGGGCCCGGTGGCCTCGGTGGCTCCTCGGAGCGCTGCCTGGAGAACCACATCCAGCCCTATCGGAGCGAGCCCGCTCGCGTGCCCCCCGAGGGTCCCCACGTGCGGGAAGCGATCCCGACCGCGCTGCTCCGGGGGCCGCATCTCCGCACGGGGGCTCGGGCCTCTCTCCGAGCACCGCTTTCGACACTCCGGCTTCCAGCGCCTTCATCCCGCCTCTCCTCCCGCCCGTTCCTGCCGCTTTTGTCCTCGGAGTTTCTTAATCGATGCTGGAGATCGAGCTAAAAATAGCCCCGGCGGGAGAACAGCAAAAGCTGGGCCCGGAGGCAGAGGAGGAGCTGGGAGAGGGAGGAAGGATGGAGGCCGGGAGCATCGCTCAGCCGGGCACCGGAGCCAGGAGCATCCCGGTGCCCAGGACTCCTGGGCCCTCTGCCTGGCATGGAGCGGGAGCAGGAGAGCAGCGCCGCGGGGCTCCGGCTGCGTGACCTTGAGCCGGTCACGGCACACGGAGCGTCGTCCCGCGCGCCCGGAGCCAGGCGGGCGCCACCCGCACCCCGGGGTGCCACCTGCCCCAGTGCCACCCTGCACCAGGGTGCCCCGGGTACCAAGAGCTCAGCCCACCCCATGGTCCCAAGGGAGCCCAATGCTGCCCGTCCCTCAAACAAGGGGGTCCCCGAGATGCCCCCCGGCGCGTGCGGCGGCCGCCGTCCCGCGGGAACCGCCGGCGATTTTTTTGTCTCCCTCTAATCTCCGTTTAAAATCCGGCTGGCGGGTTTCCATGGCAACGCGGGAGGCGCGGGGTGGGGGTGGGCTCGGGCGTGGGGGCGGGAGGGGGTTCCCCCCGACCACTCCAGCCGGAGCCGCCGCGCCTAATGCCTTGCTCATTAGCATCTCATTAGCATCTCATCGAGCATCTCCACTCGTTAGGGAAGCCGGAGGCTCCTCGTTTAGCGGCTCGAAAGAGCCTCCGAGTTACTAGGTCACTGGAGGCGAAGGCGGCGCCGCGTCTCCACGCTCCACCTGTGTCCGGGTGGAGAGGACACCGTCCCCAAGGATGCCACCGTGTCCCTGGGCGTCCCCAAGCGGTGCCTTGGTGGCTCTCCGCGTCCTGTCCCACGAGCGTGCCCAAGGCCGGAGGAAGGGCCGGGTCCCGGTGACACGGGCCAGCCCCGTGGCCCCGAGCACTTCCCGCTGCCGGCCCATAACGAGCTCGTTAGCGCTGGTGTTTTTCCACCTTGGCCGGGACACTTGGGAGATGTTGATTCCAGTGACACGTGCATCCTGTGACGCGGCTGTGTCCCCTGCCTGTGTCCCCAGGGCGGGTGGCCGCGTGCGGGGACGGTCTCCGGGCCAGCAGGAGGGATGGCTCCCATGGGGTCCCATGGGTGCCCGTGACCCACAGCTCCTTTCCCTCCCCCAGATCCGCCGGCGCCGACCAACTCCTGCCAACCTGGTTCTCAGCAGCGACCAGTCATCTCCAGGTAGGTCCTGTTTGCGTCGCTGCATCCCCAGGAAAGGCTGGGATCCAGCCCCAGGGTCTGCTCCAAGCCCGTGCACCGGTGTCCCAGGGTGCTGAGGACCTGAGCGGTGGCCTGAGGGGACACCAGTGCAGGCAGTTCAAGAGGTCCATGCCAGGCAAGGACGGGAGAGGCCGTGCAGACAGCTCAGGTGTCTAGAACAGGACAAGCTGTGGTCAGCAGTGTTGGCGACGTGGTGCTCAGAGACCTCCCAGGCATGGTGCTTGGAGACTCTGCTGCATGGTCCTCAGGGATCTCAAGGTGTTGGGCTCGGAGACCCAAGTGTGGATGTTCAGAGATCTCCAGGACGTTATGGTGCTCAGAAACCCCAGGACATGTTGCTCAGAGACCCCAGGACAGGGTGCTCAGGGCCCCCAGGACAGGGTGCTCAGAGACCCCAGGACAGGGTGCTCAGGACCCCCAGGACAGGGTGCTCAGGGCCCCCAGGACGTGGTGGTCGAGGAGCTCAGCACAGTGCTCGGGTCTGCTCTGCGCTGTTGTCTGGACCTGTTGAGGGTGTCGGGGACCGAGTGCGTTGCTTGCAGTGACCCATTCGCGTGACACTCACAGCCTGTGGCCCGCGCGGAGGCCCTGCGCGCTGCGTCCCCGCTTTGCACCCCGAGTGTCCCTCCTGTCCCCTCCCCGCTGCTTTTCCAGGAAGGGGTGCTGCTCCCATCCATCCAGGTCCCATCCATCTCCACGGGAGCAGCTGCCGGTGACAGGCCCAGCGTGGGCGATGGGGCCTCCTGGCAGCTCCCCAGGGCTGGACACCGACCCCTGCGCGCCGCCAAGGGAGGGGACACCAGCTGTGACATTTCAGAGCGCCTGTGTCAGCGCCTCCCCGGCATAACTTGGCAGGTGGCCTCTGGGGACAGGGTGCCGTGCCAGCCGGCCTCGCTTCCCCGCCGTGCGCCCAGTCCTCTCCCCGCACGCTTCGTAGGCGCTGGGGTGGGACGTGGCTTGGGGACAGCGACCCTGTCATTCCGGTCGCCGGAAAAGCACTTCCCCAAGGAATTCTGCCCCTGGCACATTGGACCCTTGCAGGAGGTGCCCAAGGCGTTACCCAGACCCTGCTGAGATGCCCGTAAGCTCCTGGGCACGTGTCACCTGCTGGTCCCTGGGTGGGGATGGGAGCCTGTTCCCGGTGCTGCGTCACCTGCATGCCAAGCAGCTCCATTGGGGTGTTATCCGGGCAACAAGAGGCTGGGTGAGGGCATCACCACCCCGGGGACAGCCCTGCCAGTGCTGGGGCAGCACGCAGGGGTGGTGGAGCCGCTGCCACGTCCATCCCATCCTCAACATCAGCTGTGGTGGGCACACGATGAAGGAGCTCAGGTCCCTGCAAGGAAGGAGGGAGATCACAGCCCTAGACCTCAAGAGAGTTCAGCCTCCTTAGGTACCACCTTGGAAGGACCAGGAGATGGGGACCTAGAGGGGATCCAAGAAAGCCAGTTGATGTGCAAGGATCACCTCTCCCAAGCTCCACAGCGGACAACCCAATGAGCAAGAAGTCAAGCAAAGGGATCAGGAGACTTGCGTGGAGAAACAAGGAGCTCCTGGAAATCTCCGTCACAGTTTTGGAAGTGTACAGAAGGGGGAATCAGGAGCAGGTAACCTTGGAGGACCACAGGGACACTGTCTGAGTAGACAAGGATGGGAATAGAAAGGTCCAGACCTGTCTGGAGTTTAGTCTGGCAAAGGATGTCAAGACCAACAGGAAGAGCTTCTTTAAAACCATCAGTGTGGGGTCACTGCCAAGTGGAAAAGGGGCCCTGATGACAAAGGACACAGAGGAAGCAGGAGGACTGAACACCATCAGCACCTCGGTCTTTACTGGTAAGACCAGGTCTGACAAATCCTAGGCCCTGGAGACCAGGGAGAATGTCTAGAGAAAAGGAGACTTCTTCTTGGTAGAGGAGGACCAGGTGGTTAGAGATCACTTAGGAAAATTTGCCATCCCCAAGGCCATGGTTCCTGATAAGAGGTGCCCAAGGATGCTGAGGCAGCTGGTCAATGTCCTCGCAAGGCCACTGTCCATCATCTTAGAAAGGTCCTGGCAATCCAGAGGGGTGCTGGGGACTGGAAGAAGGCTGATGTCCCCCGAGTCCTGCACCTAGGGAGGCATGACACCGCGTACCAGTAGATGTTGAGAGCTGATCTGTTGGAAAGCAGCTCCATGGAGAAGGACCGGAGACACCAAGCTGACCAGCAGTGCACCCCTGTGACCAAGAAGGCCAGTGGTATCTGGGCCTGGAATAAGGAGAACATTGCCTGCAGGTCGAGGTCCTCCGGCCCCTCTACTGCACTGGATCCAGCTCTGGGCTCCCCAATACAGGAGAGACACGGAGCTCCTGGAGCAAGTTTGGATAAGGGCTACCAAGATGATGAAGGTACTGGAGCATCTCCCCTGTGATCTGGGTGAGCTGGGACTGCTCAGCCTGGAGAAGACTCAAGACATTCCTCTTATCAACGTGTAGAAGCCTCTGGAGGGAGGATGCCCGGAGGATGGGACCAGGCTCTTCTCAGTGGTACCCAGTGACAGAACACCAGGCAATGGGCCAAAATTCCCATGTGATCCCAAGGAAAAACTTTCCTTTGCTGGTTTTCCTTGGTTGCCCAAGGGAGGCTGTGGAGTCTCCACGCTTGGAGACATCCCAAAGCCGTCCGGATGGGTCCTCACCAGCGTGCTCTCCGTGGCTCTGCTTGGTTGGACCAGATGGTCCCAGAGGTGCCTCCCAACCTCAGCGTCCCTGTGAGTCGGTGAGTTGGTGGTGCTGGGACCAGCCCCCTCGTAACCTCTCGCTCCTCTCTGTCCCCCTCCATGCTGCCCCACAGAGGTTGACGAGGACCGGCTCCCCAACCCCCTGCTGAAGGTAGGCACCGTGCGGGGGGCCCCGGGAGGAGCGGGGTCACCCCCCAAGGCGACAACGTGACCCAACCGCCCCCTGCAGCATGGGGTGAACATTGGGGTGCTCCTTGTCAGCGCCCACCTTGCCCCCGCCGGTGACTCGCTCCGCTTCCCTTGCAGTCGGGCCTGGCCATGTCGCCCCGGCAGAGGAAGAAGGTGTCCCGCACCACCCCGACCATGAAAGGTACCGCTCGCGCCCGGCCCCGCCGCCGCCGGCGTCCCCCCAAAGCCGGGGGACAGGGCCACGTGCCACCCCAGGGCGCGGGGTGCTCAGCATCCCCGTGCCAGGCAGCAGGACCTGGCCACCAGGAAGCCACCTCATCCATGAGGACGTGCTTAGCAGGATCTCGCTGCCACCTTGCTATGGAATCAGGTGCCTCGGAGGGAGGTGCCCGTCCCCGGAGCCTTGGGCTCACAGGGTCACAGCAGGGCTGGTTTCGGATGGCACCCAGGGGTTAAAGCACTTGGAGCCCTTGGACTTGGTGTGGGCAGGAGAGGGTGTCCAACCGGGACACGGCGCAGGGAGAATCGTGTCCCCGGAGCAGGGACAGCGGTGTCCCTGGCACCTTTTGTCCCCTGTGCCACAGCACAAGCAGTGCCACAGGGCATCGGGCACCACCAGCCTTTCGGGGCCCTCTGGAAAGGGTCCTGTCCCACCTTTCTCACGGGAATGTGCGCTGGGGGACACCAAGGACGTGGGTCCTCCCTGGGGACATCCGCCCCCGTGGGGTCTCATGGGCTCTCCCTGCCTTGCAGAGCTGCAGATGATGGTGGAGCACCACCTGTGCAAGCAGGCGCGCGGCGAGGAAGAGGAGGAGGAGGAGGAGGAGGAGGGTGGCCAGGAGCAGCACGGCCCCGCGTGCTGCCACCGCGGGGACGGTGACGCGGAGCACAGCCACAGCCCTGGGGGCACCTGCCCGCTGGCTCAGCCCCCACGCGAAGCCACCAGTGAGTAGAGCCCCCCGAGGCGGCAGCTCCGGGTGTCCCGGTGTCCCCTCGGCTCTGCCGGCGGAGCGGCGGGTGACAGGGGGTCCCCAGGCCGGGCGGGGGGACACAGGGCACGGGCTGGCGCTCACGGCCATGGTGCCCGCAGAGGCAGCGGGCGCCCGAGGGGACACGCGGCAAAGCCCGGCCGGAGACGGCACCCATATAGCACCGAAGGAGGCCGGGGGCAAGGGTGCGGCCACCAGCCAGTAGGTACGTGCTGAGTAGGGTGGGATCCATACGAGGACGTCCTGGGTAGGGTGGGATCTAGATGGGTACGTCATGGGATAGGGTGGGATCTATAGGGGTACATCATGAGAAGGGTGGGATCCATGTGTGTATGTACCGGGATAGAGTGGGGTCTAGATGGGTACGTCATGGGATAGGGTGGGATCTATAGGGGTACATCATGAGATAGGGTGGGATCTATATGGGTACATAATGGGTGGAGTGGGGTCCATGTGGGTACGTACTGGGTAGGGTGGGATCTATAGGGGTACATCATGAGATAGGGTGGGATCTATATGGGTACATAATGGGTGGAGTGGGGTCCATGTGGGTACGTACTGGGTAGGGTGGGATCTATATGGGTACGTCATGGGATAAGGTGGGATCCATGTGTGTATGTACCGGGGTAGGGTGGGATCTATATGGGTACATCATGGGTAGGGTAGGAAGCATATGGGTCCATAATGGGTAGGGTGGGAAGCCTATGGGGACACACTGGGGCGTGAGGCACCCATATCGGTACGTACTGGGGCAGGGTGGGCTCTACGCGGGTCCATGCTGGCTTTTACTGGGCTCCATGTGGGGACATACTGGGAAAAGGACAGGCTCCAATTGGCTACGTACTGGGATACGGGGGGCTCCATACTGGGAGGCACTGGGCCGTGGTGGGCACCAAGTGTCCCCAATCTGTCCGCAGGTGCCACGGAGCCGGGCAGGAGCGAGGCCGCGGCCGCAGGAACCGCCCCGCCGCCGAATGCTTTTGTACCGATTATTTTTTCAGATTTCGACGGCTCTTTTGGGGGCGTTGGTGACGCTTTTTTTCTTTTTCTTTTTTTTTACCGCCGCCTCCAGGCCCGGTTTTGGGGACACCAGCCCCGTGCCCGCCCTGCCGATGGGGCCACAGGGTGGCCTCCCCTGTGCGCACTCGGTCTGGGGACGGTCCCCTGCCCCTGCCCCCCCTGGGGTGTCCCCGGGGCCACCTCGAGGCCCCCGCCCCCCCTGGGGTGTCCCCGGGGCCACCTCGAGGCCGTCTCGGGCGAGGAGGCTGCTGTGGAGGCTGCTGCTCCCGGAGGCCCGCGGGAGCGGAGCCCTGTGCACGCGCGTGCAGGCCGGGGGGGCGCGCACGGGGGCCGTGCAAGGTGGGAGCTTGCACGCACGCCGCTGTGCAGGCACGTGGGTGCACGCACACGTGTGTGCAAGCACAGGTGTGAGCTTGCACCGACGCCACCGTGCAAGCACACGGGTGCGCACACATGTGTGCGTGTGCATGCACAAGCGTGAGCTTGCACACACGCCACAGTGCAAGCACGCGGGTGCACGCACATGTGTGCGTGTGCATGCACGGGGGAGAGCTTGCACACACACCGCAGTGCAAGCACACGGGTGCACACACATGTGTGCGTGTGCATGCACAGCTGTGAGCATGCACACAGGGCAGTGCAGGCACGCTCGTGCATGCACAAGTGTGAGCTTGCACACACACAATAGTGCAAGCACGCTAGTGCACACATGGGTGTGCGTGTGCATGCACAAGTGTGATCTTGCACACACACCGCCGTGCAGGCACGCTCGTGCATGCACAAGTGTGAGCTTGCACACAGTGCAGCGCAGGCACACTTGTGCATGCACACGCATGTGCACACGCATGTGCACACGCATGTGCCTGTGGGAGCTCACACGTGCACACGGACACAGGTGCATCTCCGCACACCGGAGCACGCCCGCGCACGCCCGCGGCGGGCACACACGCACTGGGCACATGTGGGTTTGCATGCACGCACATGTGCGCACACGCGCGTGCCAGGCGCACACGCGGCACCGGGCACCTGCCGCGCGAACCTCTTATTAAAGAGATCCCCTTGTGTGCGCCGGCTCCTCGTTGCCTTCGCGCCTGGCACCCTTGGGTGCTTCCCTGCGGAGCAGGGAAGGGGCCCAGGCGTCCGGGCGGCAGCAGCACGGCGACACGGCGGGTGGTGACGTACGGTTTATTAAGAGCTCGTTAGCGGCGGCTTCGTTTCACATGCACGAGGCGGCAGGAGGGGGATGCGGCGGCGGCTGCGTGTGGAGATGGGAATGGGAATGGAAATGGGAACGGGAATGGGAATAGGAACAGGGATGGGAACGGGAATAGGGATGGAAATGGGAACGGGAATGGGAATGGAAATGGGAAAAGGAATGGACATGGGAACGGGAATAGGAACGAGTATGGGAATAGGGATGGGAACGGGAATAGGAACGGGGATGGGAACGGGAATGGCCAGTGTGGCACTGCTGGAGCCGGAGGCAGGGAGCTGGAGGATGCCGGGGCTGGAGAAGCTGCGGGAATGTTGGATCCGACACGATGCAGCCCGAGGCTCCCGGAGCCGGGGAAGCTGCAGGCACGGCGGCTCCAGAGGACGCCGGGGCGCTGCCGGAGCCCCGGGAGCTGCCGGCATGCCGGAGGCAGGGAATCCCGAGGAGCCCAGGAGTCCAGGGGCACTGCAGGCCTGCCGGAGCCGGAGGAGCTCGAGGCATGATGGAGCTGGGAATGACAGCTGGGAATGACGGAGCTGGGAATGATGGAGCTGGGAAAGCCGGAGCTGGGAAACCGGAGCTGGGAATGATGGAGCTAGGAAACCGGAGCTGGAGAAGCCAGAGCTGGGGAAGACGGAGCTGGGGAAGACGGAGCTGGGGAAACCAGAGCCAAGGAAGCCGGACGCATGCTGGAAGCCAGGATGCCGGAGGCGCCCTGACGCCGGAGGCACCGCGTAGCCCGGAGCGAACCGGAGGAGGCTGGAAGCACATTGGAGCCGTTGGAAGCCCGCCTGAGGACGCCGGAGGCAGAGGATGCGGGAGCCGGGGGAGGCCGGAGGCGGAGGATGCGGGACGTGGGGATGCGGGAAGCTGGGATGTGGAGGCCGGGATGGGAGAAACCGGGATGCGGGAGGCACGCTGGAGGCAGGGACACCCGGCACCCCTGGGTGCTCAGGCCTGGCTGGCTGTGCGCGCTGCAGCGGGGGGGGCTCCGGCCGCCCCCGTCCTGGCCCGTCGCCGCCGTCCCCATCCCAGGACACTCGGAGCATCCCGGCGCGGCGGGAACCGGCCGCCTTAGCAGCCGGGATGGGGCGGGGGGGGCGCGAACCCCGCGGCTCCGGAGCCGCCCGGGATGCTCCGGAGTCGGAGGCGCCCATTCCCCCCCGGGGGGCCCCGAGACCTGCGGGGCGGAGAGGACAGTCCCTGAGGGGTGACACCGCGGGGCGCATCCCGCGCGCCCGCCGCGGCGCCCACCTCGCTCCCATGGGAGCCCTTATTCCACATCGCCGTTGTGCGGGTGCCGGTCGCCGCCCGCCGCCGCCTCCTCCTCGCCCAGGGGCTCCTCCACGGACACCTGGTTGGTGAGTCCTGCCGGGGGGGCACGGGGCGGGTCGGGAAGCGGGGCGTGACGCGGGACCGGGGTGGGGGGCACGCGCGGTGCTGGCACCCACCGCTGGCCGCCCGCTCCTTCCACTTCTGCTTGTTCTCCTGGATGTACTTGGCCCACGTGGCGCGGAAGCCGGCCAGCTCCGTGCCCAGCTCGCCCAGCTCCAGGTGCTCGTCCAGGGACGGCTGCCGCCACTGGGCGCTGCGGGGACACCGGCTCGGGGGTCCCCCTTGGGTCCCCAATTCCCCAGGAATGGCGCCTGTCACACGTGTCCCCGGTATCATGGGTCCCACCTGGCCGGCTGGCCGGTGCCCGCGTTGCCCTTGGCGCCGTCCTCCACGAGGGGCAGCACCATCTTCTCGGCCACGTCGGTGAGCACCGAGAACGTGGGCTCCACGATGAAGTCGATGAAGCCTGGCGGGGACGGGGCGCGAGGGAGGCGGTGGCACCGAGGTGGGGTGGGACCCTCCGCCCCATGCCAACCTCTGGTGCCAGCGGGGGACAGGGACGGTGCTCACCGATCTGGGACTGGGCCACCAGCGTGGACGTGCGGTCACACAGGGGCGAGAAGGGCAGCCCCAGCTCGGCCTCCTTGTCCCCCTGGCAAGGGAGGACGGTTCCTCCTGGGTCTTTCCAGCCTCCCGACGGGGACCCAGGCGTCCGGGCGCTCGCGGGGCACCCACCTGCCTGAAGAACTCCTCCATGAGGGCCTTGGTCCAGCGGCTGTGCACGGCCCACTGCTTGGTGGGGTGGCTGATGTCGGCGGCGTGGAGCAGCAGGGACAGCACCTTGGACTTGTCGATCCTGTTGTCGGCGGGGGGGACACACGGAGCGGGTGGGCGCGCGGGGCCCGTCCCCGGTGCGCCCGGGCGCCCCGGCACTCACCGCTCCAGCTGCTGCAGCGCCGTCTTCATGGCCTTCACCTGCTGGAAGTGGCAGGACATGTCGGTGGCCAGGACCATCTCGATGACCAGGGCGCGCAGCTCCCTGCGGAGAGGCGCCGGTGACGCGCGGGGACAGCGCGGGGACAGCGCGGGGACAGCGCGCGGACACTGCGGGGGCCCCTACGCGAACTCGTCCTTGGTGAGGTTCACGAAGATGTTGAGCTCGTCGTCCTGCATCATGCGGAACACGGCGCTGATGTGGTGGTTCTCCAGCACCGAGCGGTCGTTGTAGAGGATGGCGCAGTCCGACCTGCGGGGACACGGGGACGTGGGGGGGGCACTGCAGCCCCCCACCTCGCCACAGGGGACACGGGTTCGGGTCCCCCGAGTGCTGCTCTTGGTGACCCTCAAGTGTCACCCGCCGCCTCGGCGACACCCCCGTGGCGCCACCCCACGGGGTGCTCGGGTCCTACGGGTGTCCCCGCGGTGCCAACGCCGCGGGTGTCCCCGCGGAGCCGCCCGCCCTCACTTGGTCTGGATGTGGAAGCTGTTGGTGGTGCCCGTGTGCTCGTAGTCGTGGATGGCGGCGGCGAAGACGATGGCCAGGACCTCGATCTCCGTCAGGTAGTGCTGGGGGACGGGGCGGGCGGTGGTGGCACCCGGTGGCACCGTCACCGTGGCAACCGGTGTCACCCGCACCCGGGCCCAGATACCAGCTCCTGGCGCTGGGATGGGCCCCGTTCTGGGCACCTGGCACCGAGCGGGCACCAGGGACGGGCAGCAGGTCCCGTCCTGTGAACTGGCACCGGCACCGTTCCAGGTACCGGAACTGGGCACTTTCTATGGACAAGGGGCACCAGAACCAGGTGCCATCCCTGGCACCAGCACCAGGTGCCATCCTAGGGACCAGAACCAGGTGCCATGCTGGGCACTGGTACCTGGTGCAACCCAGATACCAGAACTGGTGGCACCCTGGAAACTGGTACCTGGTGCCATCCTGGGCACTGGTACCTGGTGCCATCCTGGGCGCCAGAACCAGGTGCTGTGCTGGGAACTGGTACCATCTTGGGGACCAGAACCAGTTGCCATCCTGGGCACCAGCACCAGGTGCCAGCTGGGAATCAGCACCAGGTGCCATCCCAGGCCCCGGCTGCCATGCTGGGAACTCGTGCCATCCAGGGGACCAAAACCAGGTGCCATCCCGGGCACCAGCACCAGGTGCCATGCTGGGAACTGGTGCCATCCTAGGGACCAGAACCAGGTGCCATCCTAGGGACCAGCACCAGGCGCCATGCTGGGAACTGGTGCCATCCTAGGGACCAGAACCAGATGCCATCCTAGGGACCAGCACCAGGTGCCATGCTGGGAACCAGTGCCATCCAGGGCACCAGCACCAGGTGCCATGCTGGGAACTGGTGCCATCCAGGGCCCCAAGGGCCATGCTGGGAACTGGTACCATCCTAGGCACCGGCACCAGCTGCCCCCCAGCTGCCCCCGCTCCAGCACAGCCCACGCCAGGGCCCCCCCGGGTGCCACCCCCGGGTGCGGGCGCCCGTACCAGCATGCCGGTGCGCAGCAGGAAGCAGTGCACGGTCTGCGCCACGTCGGCCGCGTGCGCCTGGTTGTGGTAGGGGTTGCGGTACCGGCCGTAGCCGCTCTCCAGCGCGTCCAGCAGCGCCGCCAGGAACGCGCCCGGGATCTGCGCACACGCGGCTACAGGCGGCCGCTCGGGCGGCCCACTGTAGCCGCCGTCGCGGTGACAACCCCCGCGCACACCTTGAAGCGGCTGTTGAGGTTGTGGCGGGTGAAGAGCTCCAGGACGACGGTCTTCAGCGCGTGCTCCTCCGTCACCCGGTTGAGCGCGAACACGTCGAAGCACCACAGGTCGAGGCTCTGGCGGCACGCGGGCACCCGCTGCCCGGGGGGGCCGGGGGGGCCCCGCAACACCAGCCACCCCCGGCGGCGCCCAGAGGCACCCAGTGGTGCCCAGTGATGCCCAGCACACCCAGGGATGCCCAGAGTATCCAGTGGTACCCAGCGATGCCCAGAGACACCCGGTGGTGCCCAGCGATGCCCGGGACACCCAGGGATGCCCCACAATGCCCAGAGCACCCAGTGGTACCCAGTGATGCCCAGAGACACCCAGTGGTACCCAGTGATGCCCAGCACACCCAGGGATGCCCAGAGTATCCAGTGGTACCCAGCGATGCCCAGGACACCCAGGGATGCCCAGAGCACCCAGTGGTACCCAGTGATGCCCAGGACACCCAGCGATGCCCCACAATGCCCAATATACCCGGTGGTACCCAGTGATGCTCAAGACACCCAGCGATGCCCCGCAATGGCCAGAGCACCCAGTGGTACCCAGCAATGCCCAGAACACCCAGTGATGCCCAGAGCACCCAGTGGTACCCAGTGATGCCCAGTGGTACCCAGTGATGCCCAGGACACCCAGTGATGCCTCGCAATGCCCAGAGCACCCGGTGGTACCCAGCGATGCCCAGTGCAAAGCCTGGCACCACCCAACAATGCCGAACGGTGCCTAGGAATGCCCAGCGATGCCCAGTGACTCCCAGTGATGCCCAGTAGCTCCCAGTGATGCCCAGGAGCCCCAGCCGTGCCCGGCAGTGCCCGGAGGCCGCGGCACCCTGGTACCTTCAGGCAGCTGAGGACGGAGGCCGAGTAGCTGGGCCCCACGGCCGTGTACGTGCGGCGGAACATCCTGCAAGGGGCACGGCGGGCACGGCGTGGGGACCGGCCGGGTGCTGGGCACGGGCGGGGGTGCTGCGGAGCGGCCCTGGGTGCTGGGGACTGATCAAGGTGCTGGGGAGCAGCCCTGGGTGCTGGGGATTGTCCTGGGTGCTAGGGACTGTTCTGGGGTGCTGGGGACGAACCCTGGGTGCTGGAGACTGACTGGGGTGCTGGAGACCGGCCCTGGGTGCTGGGGAGCAGCCCTGGGTGCTGGGGACTGACTGGGGTGCTGGGGACCGACTGGGGTGCTGGGGACCAGCCCAGGCTGCCGGGGCACATTCAGATGACAGGGGGCCAGTCCCTGTGTCCCGGGGGACACCTGGGTGCAGGGGGACCCTTGGGTGCAGGGGGACACTGGGCCATGCAGGGTCCCACACCACCACCCAAGATCCAGACCGCAGGCGCCCACCCCTGGGGACACAACCAGGCGCCAGCCCGAGGACCCCCTTGGGTGCTGAGGCACCTTTGGGCGCCGGGGGCGGCGGGGGCACCTCTGGGTGGGGGACGGCGGCGTCACCTCTCCACGAAGATGCCGGCCTGCACGGCGTGCACGATGCTGCGGAACTTGGGCTTCTCCTCGGCGCGGCGGCCCTTGGCGCGCGCCTGCTGCGTGAAGGTGGCCGCCAGCCAGTCGCGCACCTCGGCGGGCACCGCGTCCGAGCGCATCTCCTGCAGCTCGTCCTCCGTGTCCAGCAGGTGCCTGCGGGCACCGGCGGGGTTCACAGCGGGCACCCCACGGCCCCCCACGACCCCACTGCCGCCCTCGGACCTGGTCTCGTCGATGTAGACGGCCTCGAGCAGCGACGCCGTGTACTCCAGGTTGCGCTTGAGCTCCTCCAGGTTCACCTCGCCCGTCTCCAGCTGCTTCACCATGTAGCGGAGGCTGCGAAGCGGCGCCCGCGTGGGCACCCGGGTACCCCGGCGCCCCTTTGGGGCTGCGGCAGCCGGGCGCCCCGGGGGAGGTTGGGGCACCCAGGTACCCTCTGGGGCTTTGCACGGTCCCTGCGGGGCTTTGCAGGGCTGCGGTGGGCTTGTGTGCGATGCTAGAGAGGGGTAGGATCTGCACGGGTGTATGCACCAGCCAAGCACCCATGCACCTGAGCATCCGTGCACCCAAGCATCCATGCACCTGAGCACCCATGCACCTAAGTACCCGAGCTCCCATGCATCCAAGCATCCGTGCACCTATGCACCTGAGCACCCATGCACCCGAGCATCCATGCACCTGAGTGCCCATGCACCCATTCATCCATGCACCCTTGCACCCAAGCATCCATGCACCTGAGTGCCTATGCACCCAAGCACCCATGCAACCGAGCAACCATGCACCCGAAAACCCATGCACCCAAGTATCCATGCACCCATGCATCTGAGCATCCATGCACCTGAGCACCCAGCCATCCAAGCCCCCATGCATCCAAGCACCCATGCAAACAAGCATCCATGCACCCAGGCATCCATGCACCCAGGCATCCCTGCACCCGGTGCCCATGCACGCGGGCTCGGGATGTGCATGGTCCCTGCGTGCTTCTGTACATTCACGGTGCTAGATCCGCACACACATGCACCTCCCATGCACCCGCGACCAGGTTGGGGCACCCTGGCACCCGAGTGCTGGCTTGTGCACCCATCCACCCAGGCTCTGCACGGCCCCTGCACCCTCATGTGCCCTTGTGACGCTGGAGAGGGGTAGGACCCGTGCCTACGCGTGCACCTCCCGTGCACCCATGCGCAGGCTTGGGCACCTGAGCACCCACGCGCCTGAGCACACGCGCACCCATGCGCAGACCATGCAGCACCCTGCGCATTCACACGCACGTTTATGTACCTCCCGTGCACCCACGCTGAGGCCCGCGCAGCCGGGCGCCCACGTGCAGGCTTTGCACACCCCCTGCACGCGCGATGCAGCACCTGCGCACATGCATGCAGCACCCATGGGTGCCCACATGGATGTGCGCAGGCCTGCACCCTGTCCCTGTGCCCGCCTATGCACTCCAGCATCCTGCACCCTCCGCCCCACCACAGGCACGTGGCACCCAGCACCCTGCATGGAGCTCCCAGCACCCATCCTGCATGCAACCCCCCTGCCCTGCACCCAGCAGCGCCCGGAACCAGCACCCAGAGCCAGCAGAGCTGCCAAGCCCAGTGCCAATCACAAAAGACTCCAAAAGCTCCTTTTTGGCCCCAAAACAGCCCAAGGGGTTGGAGGGCAAAGGGCACAAAGCTGCCTGGATCGGACCCGGACGGGGCGGCTCCGGATGCAAAATCCCAGCGGCCGCCGCAGCGCGAGGGGTGCCCAGCACCCAGTGCCACCCAGCGCCTCAGTTTCCCCGGTGCAAAAGCAGCCCCAGACGGGGGCCTCCCCTCCCTGCACCCTCTGGGGTGCACCCTGGTGGGCGCCCGCCGGCCCTTACCGCACGATGGGCCGCTGCAGCAGGGCGCGGGGCAGCGTGGCCGGCGCGGCCATGGCGGGAAGCGGCGGCCGCCGGGAGCGTGGGAGCGCGGCGGCCCCGGGGACGGCGGGGGGGGACAGGGCCACCCGCGGGGCGCAGAGCCAGGCCACCGAGCCAAGCCACCGCCGCGGCCTCCGGCCACCGGCCCACGGTGCCCGCGCAGGGCGCTGGGGACGCCGTGCGCCACGCGCAGGGGGTGGCGGCACTGCCAATGTGTGCATGCATGTGTCATGCATGCACATGTGCACGCGTGCACGGTTACACGTGCACCACGTGTGCATGCATGCCATGCATACACATGTGCATGCGGGCACATATACACGTGCACCACGTGTGCATACATGTCACGTATGCACATGTGCAGGAGTGCACAGATACACGAGCACCACATGTGCATGCATGCCATGCATACACATGTGCACACGCACACAGATACTGTGCACCACATGCACCACATGTGCACGCAGGTGTCATGCACACACATGTGCACATGTGCACGGATACATGTGCATGCAGGCACGGATACACACGCACCATGTGTGCACACATATGTCATGCACACACATGTGCACGCGTGCACAGATACACGCGCACCACGTGTGCACCCATGTGCAATTGCACGTGCCCTGCATGCATGTGTGTGCACACGGGCAGGCGTGTAGGTGCACGTCCAAATTGCTACCCGCTGTGTGTGCATGCACTTGCACGCAGGTGTGCACATATGCATGCACGCCCACACCCACGTGCAGACACGTGTGCACGCACACATGTACCTCATGCACCCGTATATGTGCAAAGCCACATGCATGCAATAGGTGTGTGCACCCACAGTGCACCCGCACCCCGCCGCACGTGCAGCTTGCAAAACACGTGCCGGCGCGCGCACGCGGCGGGCAGCACCCAGGGGTCCCCCACCACCCACGCCGCCACAACCCCCTCCGTCTGCCAGCCGCCCGAGCCCCCGTCTGTCTGTCTGTCTGTCCGGGTGCCTGTCGCGGCTGGGGGGGGGCGCGGGGGTGGGAAAGCAGCGGGTGGGGGGGATCCCATCTGGAGGGCCGGGCTCCGAGCCGCCCTCGCGGCGCTGTCTCCCGCTGCAGCCGCCTCGCTCGCGCGCCCAAAGCCGCTGCCTTCCCGGCGGAAAACTCCGTGTCAGGAAGTTTTCCGGGAAGGCAGCGAGTCCCCCCGCGCGGCGATGCCGGGGCCCAGGCGTCCGGCCTTCGCCCACTCCATCATGAGGGATATTCCCGATGGAACCAGGCGGGGAACCGGCTTCCTGCGGCTCCTCCGGCCGCCTGGCAGCCCTCGGCCTCGTTAGCGCTAATGAGAGCTGGCAGCCGGGGCGCGAGGAGCCACCCATGCGGCGGGGTGGGCGAGCGGCCGTGCAAGGGGCGTGGGGGTGTGCAAGGGTGTGCAAAGCGTGTGCAACAGGTGCAGGCTCGTGCAGGGGCGAGCAAGGCTGTGCGTGAGTGCACGGGGTTGTGCAAGGCCATGCACGGAGGTGCAACGCTGCGCGACTCTGTGCACGGCCGTGCATGGTTGTGCAAGGCCTGTGCACAGTTGTGCAAGGTCGTGCATGGTTGTGCAAGGCCCTGCATGGTTGTGCAAGGCCCTGCATGGCCGTGCGGGACTGCACGTGGTCGTGCACGTCTGTGCAAGGCACTGCAAGGCCACGCATGGATGTATACGTTGTGCATGGCCTTGCACGGATATGCAGCGCCCTCCAGGGCTGTGCATGGCCGTGCAAAGCTGCAGGTACTTGTGCAAGGCTGTGCACAAGCACACAGGTTTGTGCGCAGATGTGCAATGCCGCACAGGTTGTGCATGCTTGTGCAAGGCCGTGCACGAGCACACAGGGTTGTGCACAGCCGTGCACGGATGTGCAGTTCCTCAGGGGTCAATGCAGGGCTGTGCATGCTTGTGCAAGGCTGTGCACGGCCATGCAGGACTGCATGTGCTCGTGCACACCCGTGCAAGGCTGTGCAACACAAAGAGTCGTGCAAGCCCATGCACAGCTCAGCAACGCCACACAGTCCTGCGCACGGCTGCTCCGGGACGTGCACCGTCGTGCGAGGCTGTGCAAGCCGGCGCGAGCCCGTGCGCATCCACGCGGCACCGTGCAAGGCCCTGCAAGCCCGTGCACGCTTGTGCAAGCCCTTGCGAGCTTGTGCAAGCTCTGTGCACGCGCACACGAAGCCACACTCGTCCCGGCCTGGCAGGCAGCATCATGAGCGTGCAAGGGAGCTCACGGCGGGGGGGGGCCACATTATTTCCCCCCTTTTCTTCCCTCTCGCCCACCCCGCAACCCGGCACGTTCCCGTCCTCCCCCGCCGCCATTAAGAGAGTTATTAGCGTCCTCCCCCGGGCTGCTGCGGCACCGAGGGGGGGCCCGGCCGGTGCAAGCGAGCGAGGGCGCCCGTGGGTGCGCACATGTGGGTGCACACGCAGGGGTGCGCACGTGCCCGCAGGCCTGCACGTGCAAACCTGCAGCCAGCTGCAAAGCGGGGTGCCTGCACGGGTCCCCAGCACCCTTAGGTGGCAGGGTGCACGGTGGGGGGGTCCTGGAGCGTGCGTGGGAGCTGCCGGTGAATGTGACCTTGGGGACGATGACACCCGCTCCGGGTGCTCCTGTGTTGCACCCAAGACGGGGTTTGCAAAAGAGCACCGGGTGCCTGGGTGTGCGTGGTGCTGTGCACACTTGTGCGTGCTTGTGCATGCTCCTGCCTGCTCCTGCACACCCATGCAAGCTCACACACGCTCCTGCACACTTGTGCACACTTGTGCATGCTCCTAAAGCCTCCTGCACACCCGTGCAAGCTCACACATGCTCCTGCACAGTAGTGCACACTTGTGCATGCTCCTAAAGCCTCCTGCACACCCGTGCAAGCTCACACACGCTCCTGCACACTTGTGCACACTTGTGCATGCTCCTGCCCGCTCCTGCACACTCGTGCAAGTTCCTGCACACCCACACATGCTCCCACACACTTATGCACACTCGTGCAAGCTCCTGCATACCCATGCAAGCTCCTGCACACTCGCACATGCTCCCGCACACTTGTGCACGCTTGTGCATGCTCGTGCACACCCGTGCAAGCCCCCGAAACGCTCCCGCATGCTCCCGCACGTGCAGCAGCCCTCACGCACACACACTCCCCAGCCCGCAGCACAGCAGCCAGCACCTATGGGTGCTCTAGGGGGGCCGGCAGGGGACAAATGGGGGCATCCGTGGGTGCTGGGGGGGCAGGGAGATGGGAACCCCCCCCCCGCCACGAGGTGCTCATGGAGGCAGGGGCAGGGGGTGGCCTGGGGGTCCCAGGTCCAGGGGATCCATTGGGGGGACTTGGAGGGGTCCCAGGGGTCCCATTTGGGTGGGGGTCCCAGGGAGGGGTCCCAGTTGGAGCCCTGGGTGCTAGCTGGGGGCTTCCAGTTGAGTGTGGGAAGAGGGTCCCGATTGGGGGGGGTCCCAGTTTGGGGATATTCAGCGGGGTCCTGGTTGGGCCCCCTGGTTCAGGGGTCCAAGTTTGGGGGGTCCTGTTTGGGGGGGCACATAAGGGAGGGTCTGATTCAGGGGTCCGAGTCTGGGGTCCCGCTTTAGGGGGGATCCCATTGAGGGGGGGTCATAGTTTGTGTAGTCCAGATTTGGGGTGGTCCTGCTTGGGGGGCGGGGCAGGGCTTGGGGGGTCCCGCTTCGGGGGGCTCTGATTAAGGGGTGAGGCCCCAGCTGGGGGTCCCTATCGGGGGTCTTGCTTCGGGTGACCCAGCTGAGGGGGTCCTGGCGCGAGGGTCGACCCCAGTTGGGGGAGGTCCCAGCTCGGGGGTCCCTATCGGGGGTCCCTCTTCCAGTGACTCCAGTTGTGGGGTCCCAGCACGGGGGTCGATCCCAGTTGGGGGAGGTCCCAGCTCGGGGGTCCCTATCGGGGAGGGGTCCGGTTTGCAGGGCTCCCGGGGGTCCCCCCCAACTCCCCCCCCCGCTCACTCACAGCGCCCGCAGCTTGATCCAGATCTTCCTGCTGGGCGCCGCGCGCCCCTCCAGCGGCGAGGGGC